CCCCAAAACCCCAAAACCCCAAAACCCCAAAACCCCTTTTATAAATTCCAAAAATGAAGATATCTTACTTATTATATTTCCTTGAGTAACTTCCTTTGCAATGCTTACCTTTCATATTCCAATTTCTCTATCTATTTTCTAGTCTGAGTTGCCTAAAATGTTTGGATACACTGTACTCTGGAATGACAAAGATAATCTTCTCTAAAGGATAACTTTGTAGTTTAGATTTGTAAAAACCGTAGGTAGATTTAAAATTACAAAAATTATTAGTATTAATTCTGATTTTCCTCAGAATTTCTTAACCCGTCATCATTTTAAACTTCCCATTATTCAAATTATCGGGATATTCTCCCTTTGAGGTATTTTTAAAGTAGTTCTTCTGAGCATCACTATTGGAGATATCCCCTATAGAAGACCTATCCATTGCTGATTCGTTATTCCCTTTAGCAAAGCCAGATTTCTCTCCATACATAGATGTATTAATAACATCACGATACCCACTGTTGTTCAAAGTAGATAATTCTACTTCTGTTTCGTTACGTTTGAAATCTCCATAGGTAGGTTTATAGGAATACTGGCTAAGCTTGAGACTCATTCCATTATCTGCATTCTTTTCTCTGAGACATGAGGAGCATGTACATGAGCTATCATATGACTCTCCTTCACCATCCTCATCTCCTTTTGACTCCTTGTATTCTTTGGGGTCCTTGCTCTCTTCTGACTTTGAAGGCATTCAATTGATATCGCTTTTGTCAGCTTCACTTTGTAGAGGGTTATTTTATTCCTTGTTTCACAAGCTTGCTCTTGCGACTCTTAGTTTTATTATTAAATATTACAGCTGAGTTATCTATCATCATTGGAGGCACAATGCTTTCATTCATACCCTCAGTAGCATTGTAGGCACTTTCATTGCTTTCCTTTCTTGAATCAACATTTTTACTCTTAATTGTGCTCTTTCCAATTGAATTGGCATTATTTCCATTCGAGGGAGTTGGGATCCATTTATCTGAATTTTTCTTATTATCAAGTCTGGCATTATTTGCCTTGACTTCTTGAGCTTTCATTATCAGCCTTTGATGGGAAAGAGGCCCTTCGTTTCCAGAGTTCCCAGATGAAGAAGAATCACAGCTCCCTTTATGCTTCCTCTTATTTTCTCGAAATATTACCTGAATTTCCCTGATCTTGATTGTTACTCCCATCTTCATCGTACTGGTTATCCACAACTTCTTGGATAGGGTCAAGTTTGCACATAGCAATATTTCAAGAATGTCGCCTGTAGTAGTAACTTTCTATTGCATTTTGTTTGCGTTCCTGGGCGTTATATATTGGCCTCTTGATCTTTTCAGCAGGCCTTGACAGTTTCCTATTCATATCAGGCTTATCATCTTTCTGGTCATTTTTATAGTTTTTACAAGACTTGACCTTACTGATGCTACTATTATTAGATTCTTGGCTATTAGATTTGATCAAGTCGCTGCTGATAGATTTGTTAAATTCAGGTTTCCGTTCTGTCAAGGCAGCGGCATCTTCCTTAGAGTCTTGATTATCAATATATAGAACAGACTCTGACTTTTTCTTCATCATTATTTTGTTATTTTGCTGGCTCCGAAGACAGCAAAGCCAGGCAAAAAAGCCTATCTTTTGAGGTTCTGGAGGCTCCTTCTTAATTAACTTACTTCTTCTTCTCTGAATAGCTGGGATTGCGGGTGTTTCTTTAGTTTTATTCATAGTGGAAAGATCATTCATTTAATTTAATATTTTATAACATAAATTCATAAACTATTTCGTAGAAAGGGGTTTTGGGGTTTTGGGGTTTTGGGGTTTTGGGGTTTTGGGGTTTTGGGG